GGCAGACCCCGAGGCTTGCTGCTGCTACAGCAAGCCCTCCAACAGCGTGCAGGCCATCCCTGGCCAGGGTACGAGGTGTGACGCAGCACCTTGGCAAAGGCACGTCTGCCCCCAGAATCGAGGGGCACGAGCAGCCTCAGGGTAGGCTGTGCCCATCACTGGCAGAGCATGCCAGGGGCATAGCGACGCTCAAACTGGCCCACGTCGAACTTGCGCTTGCAGCCGGCGTAGTTCATGTAGCGAATCTTCCCGAAGACAGCCCGCTCTGTCCAGCCGTGGTCATGTATGCCGCAGATGGACCAGAGGCAGCCTGGCAGGCATGGGGACGGACTGTCAGCTCTCCCCCTTGCTCAGAGGCATCCAGAGAGCAGGTGGGATGTGGGTGACGGGCTGGAGCCCGTCGGGCTAGAACATGGGCTAGGTTGCCTGCAGAGAGCCCTCCCCCTCCATTGTGGCTTTGGCCATCAGAGATAAGACCCCCCACCCCGCTCCTGCAGCTTGCCTGTGTATCCGTTGGGGTCCCTCCCGTCCAGCTCGTAGCGGTCATTGAGGTAGATGGCAAACCGCAGGGCCTCCTCGGGGGAGTGTGTCCACTCCAGGATCTTCTTGGCCCAGTACATCCGCAGGAAGCCATGCATCTTGCCCTCCCGGACCATTTGGAGCTGGGGAGAAAGGGACAAGCCACAGTGGTCAGTCTGTGCCAGCTCGCCTCTGCCCCTTGGGTGAAGGCTCAGCGTTTCAAGAGGGGGAGACACGGGACAGTACCTGGGCAGCATTCCACAGTGGGTCATGTGTGGTCCCCTGCTCCAGCTCCTGCAGCTTGTAGAGAAAAGGCCTCTTGTCTTTGGCATGGAGCTTCAGGGTGGTTTGTGCCCAGCTGTAGGCACCTGTAAGCAAGAGATGAGGAGCAATGCGGAGCAAGCCACTCTTGCAGGGCCCCAAGGAAGAGACGAGCAATTGGGCTACTGAGGGCACCGTGCCTTGGAGGCACCAGCCTTGAAGAGAGCTTCCGCCAGCTCCTGTCCTACCTCCAGAAGCTACCAAACGATGGCACATTAGTGCCCCCATGGCCCCTCTCCTAGCAGAAACAGGATTGCCAAGCTGGGGTGACCAGCTGGGTAGTAGCCTGGCCGCCAGCGTTGCCCACCCATCCCAGGATGCTACCTTGCACGCTGTCGTAGTTCTCATTGTAGTAGCAAAAGTTTTCAGCCAGCTCCCGCCGCACTACAGCCTCCTCCACGAAAATGTCCACTGACTCCTTGTACTTGCCTCGGTGTTTCTGCACCTCCAGGATGGCTCGCTGGGTGGAAACCTGGCCTGGGGACACAGAGACAGAGGAAGTTGGGCTGCTGGTCGGAGCAGCAAAGCCCAATGCTTGGCCCTGCTGAGGGGTGGGAAGCCTGGGACACTCACCGAAGTGGAACCACGGGGACAGGTTGCTGAGCGCCTCCTTGTTGGGGTTGTTCCGGTGGGAGCCAAAGGATTTCAGCCGCTTGGCGATGAAGGACTGCAGCACAGCCAGCCCTGCAGCTGTGCCGGGGGTTGCCCACTCCACCTCCTTCACAGTGCGGTCCACCTGCAAGCTGGAATAAGAGGCCTCCCAAGCAATGGGCTGGGCAGCAACCAAGCAGTGTGAGTACATTTGCAGGTGCTCTTCAACCAGGGCTGCCCTGAGTGTTATGTCCCCTGGATGTCCCCAACCAGAAAGTCCCCAGGTCATGCCAGCCTTCTCCTCTTAACCAGCCCTGCATGGCAGTGATGTGGGAATTGAATGAATGAGATGGGAATCTCCCTTGCCCAGGG